AAGAAGTATCTCATTGATTTTGTGATGTCTAGTATATATTTTATTATAGATCTATTCTCTGATTATTAATGAGGTTGAAAATATGTTCACATGTTCCTTGGTCATTCATGTTGCCTCAGCTGTGAAGTATCTGTTCATGTCTTTTGCCCAGTTTCTAATACAGTTATTTTTGCTTTATTTGCAGAACAGCTTTATATGTTCCAGATATCAATCATTTGTCAATTTAAAAACATATTTCTTTATTTGTTTATGTATTTATTTATTTGAGGGGCATAGTTACAGAGAAGGAGGAAGAAACAGAGGGATTTTTCATCTGCTGGTTTACTCCCCAAATGGCCCAAGTGACTGGGGCTGGGCTAAGCCAAAGCCAGGATTCAGGTCTCCCACATGGGTAGCACAGGCCCAAGCATTTGGACCACCTTCCACTGCTTTCCCAGGTGCATTAGCAGGGAGCTGGATCAGAAGTGGAGCAGCAGAGGGGTAGGCAGTGTTGTGGCATAGCAGATACAGTGTTTGAGTAACAGCTTAACCCTTTGTGCCACAACACCAGCCCCATTATGAATTCTTTCAAAACAGGGACAGTGTCTTATTTTTCTGTATATACTCTATGTGTACCAATTAGCTAGCCTACTTCCTTGCACTGCAAACAGTGCTGGATTTGCTTCTATATTCTCAAATTTCTAATACCATAGACCTCCTGAGCAAGAAAGAACCTAAAACATTTTATTCATCCATGTTGTTACTATAACAAAATTCCTGAGGCAAGCTACTTTACATAGAAAAGGTTTAGGGTCTGGCACTGTGGCATAGTAGGTTAAGCCTCCTCCTGTGGTGCCGAATGAGCTGTGTTTGATCCTGGCCACTCTACTTCCTATCCAGCTCCTTGCTGATGGCCTGGGAAAGCTCTGGAGGATGACCCAAGTGCTTGGGCCCCTGCACCCACGTGGGACTCTTAGAAGAGGCTCCTGGCTCCTGGCTTTGGATCAGCCCAGCTCTGGCTGTTGTGGCTATTTGGGGAGTGAACCAGCAAATGGAAGACCTTTTTGCCTCTCCCTCTCTCTGTCTGTAATTCTACCTCTCAAATAAATAAATAAATCATTAAAAAAAAAAAAAAAGAAAGAAAAGGTTTATTTGGCTGACATCTCTGGTGGCTCAAAGTCCAAGATGTAACAGCTACATGTGTGCAGCCTCTGGTGGCGACCTAAGGGCAGATGACATCGCAGTGGGAGTGCAGGCTGGATGGGGAGGTCCCACTGCAGAGAGGAAGGCTGAGAGTGATGCAGGGTCTCACCACGCACTCTCATGAGAACCAATTCAAGAGTTCCAGGAGAACTACTTAATCCTTTCTTCAGTGACCTAATGACTTTCCACTAGGCCCTAAAGGTGACACCACCACGATGGAGACCAAGCCTCTAGCACATGAGCCTTTAGGGGACAAACACTTTCCAAATCACAGCAGCGCTATTTTGTCTTGTCTTTATTCTGCAGGTAAGGAAGTAGAGGTCCATGGAGTGTAGCTGTGTACTTGTGAGATCACGTGGTGGGCTGGTGCCAGAGGCAGGGCTCAGTGTGGTTTCTGATTCCTCCTAAAACCCCAGGGAGTGGGCTACGCTCTACTTAGCACAGTAATCCAGTGCCTGAAGAAAATGAAGCCTCCAAGAGCAGGGACAAAGAAGGGGGCTGATGTCTGCCAAAACAGCAAAGAACTAATGTAATTAAGCATTACAATGTTAAAAGAAGATGGAAAAAACAAGAATGATCACATTAAGAAGTGGGAGAGGCGTGGGTGTTGTGGCACAGCAGTTGAGCTGCCGCCTGAGAGGCCTGCATCTCATATTGGAGTGCCAGGGTTCAAGTCCCTGCTCTGCTTCCTACCCAGAGTCCGGATAATGTGCATCCTGGAGGCAGCAGGTGATGGCTCAGGTGCTTGAGTGCCTACCACCCACATAAAAGATCCAAATGGAGCTCTACCTTCTGGCTTCAGCCTGGCCCAGCCCTGGCTGTCATGGGCATTTGGGGACAGATCTCTCTCTCTCTCTCTCTCTCTCTCTCTCTCTCCCTCCCTCTCTTTCTCTCTCTCTCTCTCCCCCTCTCTCTCTGCCTTTCTGTCTTTCAAATGAATTTTAAAAAGTTGTTAAAGTGGAAAAATGCTCATACAAGTGGATAAAACATTTCTGAAGTCAAAAGTCAAACATACCCAAGTTACAAATATGCACCTTTTCTTCCTCATCACATTTTTTTTTTTTTTTTTTGGACAGGCAGAGTTAGACAGTGAGAGAGAGACAGAGAGAAAGGTCTTCCTTTTCCATTGGTTCACCCCCAAATGGCCACTACGGCCGATGCGCTGCGCTGATCTGAAGCCAGGAGACAGGTGCTTCCTCCTGGTCTCCCATGCAGGTGCAGGACCCAAGCAGTTGGGCCATCTTCCACTTCCTTTCCAGGCCACAGCAGAGAGCTGGACTGGAAGAGGAACCACTGGGACAGAATCCGGCGCCCCGACTGGGCCTAGAACCTGGAGTGCCAGCGCCGCAGGCAGAGGATTAGCCAAGTGAGCCGCAGCGCCGACCCCTCATCACATGTTTAAGACTGAAAAGAATAATGAGTGAGGCCTTAGCAGACAACCTATTAGAATGAAAACTGAGAACAAGGACTGACTGTTTTGCTCACCATTTTCTCTCTCTCTCTCATGTGGCACAGGGCCAGGCAAATCATGAGGATTCAATTAATATTTAGAATTCAGTAAATGACTAGCATATGTGCCAGATGTGAGTTTTTCTTGTTGATGTGGGGAATGGGCAAACCCAAGGCCTACAGTATTCCTTCGGACACACACAACACAGAAGGAATTGCTTACTCCAGACAAGCAGCATGGATTGTCATGCTATACAGTTCTGGAAGCTCTGGCTCATGAGAAGCTAAGTTATCTTCCAAAAAAAGAAACAGGAAATATGTACAAGGGAAGAAAATAAATAAATGTTGATGAGACTGTGCAGATAGAGGTTCTCACACACTGTTGATAGGAGCATAGAACGCCCCTGAAGGACAAGGTGGCACAATATGTCAACATTTTAAATGTGTCTTTGCAATTTACACTACGAAAAGGCTGTGTGTGTGTATGCACCTTTGCTGACATGTTGTTTCTACAGCAAATGACGTATATCCTATATGCTTACTAAAGAACTGGTTCAATAAGTTACAGTAGAACACCATGCTGTGCATGTTACCCCTAGAAGAAGAATGAGAAGGAAATCAATCCAATGTTGACAGCAATTATTTGTTCAATTTTATTCTCTTATGTTGTCTTTCCTTTTTTCCTCTTATTGGAAACATGTGCATTGCTTTTACAAGCAGAAAAATTGTTTCCAATTGAAGAAGATTTTAGACCTATTGTTCCAAGAAATGTGGACTTACAGAGTTTCAGATGTTATCTATTCATTTTAATGACTTATATGCTGTATATGTCATGAATTTAGAAAATATTAAATAACACTTAGAATGAAAGTCAAAAAGAAATTAAAAATTATGGGAAGAGAATAAAAAGTATGCCAGTAACCTAAGTTTATTTTTCAGACAAAGGGAAAATTAAAGTGCACTGCGGTACTCTAACTAACTGAAGAAAGCTCACTTGGCAAAGATGGAAAAGAGAAATGCCTTAGAAAACAGCCCATTAGAATGTAAACCAGTTTGTCAGGAAAGACATTTTCTTGAGATCCAAGAGGAAATTCTATAGCTTGATTTCTGTTCCTGTTACCTGCTAACCAGGAAACACACGCTTGCACAGAATCTTGGCTTAGAGAGTGCTTACTCATGAGCATAAGGTAGTGTCACAAGGACACTTTTGGTATTTCCTTTAGGCAGGCATCAAAACACAAACTTTATTCTCTTTTTATTATTTAAAGAATTTTTGGAGTCCCCAAATATGGAAATAAGGTTTAATTCAAATATTAGAGGACTTTAGCTTTGTTGCTCTTACTGATTATTTTAAAACTGTAAGAGTATGCACATGGTACAACCCATAATAAGTGAAGAGTAAGTTCCCTCCCAGGGCTACAATGCCCAGGGCATCCGGGCTTGAATTTCATTCTTCTCTCCCTGACTGCCAAAGGTCGCCTGCCATCTTCAACATCAACAGTTACTGCTTTTCTTCTGCATATCTGTCTTTTCCTTTTAACTGCTTCTCGACTCTTGGTGGGAGTGCTAGGGAAGCATAAGGCAGTAGAAATAAATTTGTCTTATTCCTTCATGTGATAAAATTGGTCCGAATAGATAAACCCATGTTGTTGACTTCCTCAGCTGAAATTAGAAGTATTTCTTTGATTTCTGTCAACAATAGGAATAGAGCCAAACCCACCCCTTATAAAAAAGCCGAGAAGCTGCCTACTCCCAAGGCTCTGCTAAATATGGTCTGTAAATGTCTCCTTCCTTACCCTCTCATAATGATGGGTGCCTTGTCATTGTTGCTTTTAAAAAGTTGGAGGGGGATAAATTTTACCTATTTTTTAGTCCCTTTGAGTATACTTACAGCACAATACAAGTCTACACTACAATTATAACTTTTTAAAAATCTTTAAAGAAGAGGCTTGGATTCCCCAGAGGGAAGTATTCATAAAACCTTCTAATGTTGGCATTACCAACAGCTTTCTGCACCAGAACAAATGCTGGCCAAAATGCTATCTGTCCCCAGCTACCCATTCAGAGCCCCAGATGTGTGCGTTCTGGGACTGCAATGGGAAGCATGATGTCTCGAGTCCATAAAAATAGCCAGAGAAAGGAATAAACTGTTGGAGAACTGGCAGAGTCCAGAAGTGCCAGGACTTACCCACCCCCACCCTTGCGCCTCCGTGCCTCCAAGCGTAAGGCTGTTCAGTATACTGTGATTTCTACACGACTGGTCCCCACACAGCTCAATTCAAAGAACAGAAATTGCCCAGCTCCCCTGCTCTCAGCTACCACTGCTCTACTCCCTCATGGTTCTTATTCCTGGTTTTGTTGTCCTGCTCAGAGAATTAGAAGATTTCTTACAACAAAACTAACAGATGGACTGCTGCCAATGGCACACTGTGACAGATGAAAAAGGTATGTAGCCCCACTGGCATTGGCTGAAATGCTCCCACAGGGAACTAGCCAGAGTACCCCCTTCCCTCCACCCATGGAGCTGCCGTCCAGCCAGACAGCCCTCTGGCTAACAAGTTCAGCAGAGATGGCTCCTGGGCTTTGGGGCCCTCTACAGCCTCCCAGCCCTGCCTCTCCTCCTCAGCTGATTCCATAAGCTTCAGTGGAGTTGTCGGCAGCTTGGCTACGATGACATGACTCTCGAAGGCAGGAGAGGTGGGTGGCACTATGGAGATAAGCAACTCACACCTCCCCATCCTTCCTCCCACTCTCTAACTTAGAAACACGAGGTACTCTGAGATCTGGAACTGGCCTCCCACAGCTGCTCTGCTATGGCTGTGCTCTGCCAACTGCTTCCTTAGGGCTGTCTCTTGAGGAGTCTTTGGTTTTGCTCTTAACTCGTTGTAGATCCCAGCAAGACATTTGGCCACACATCCAAGCAGGGAAGATTTCCTACGTCTAAGAGTCATTTCACAGCATGAGAACTTCAAAGACCCCAGGGAAGCCTCACCAGGGTTGACACTGCTGGCTTGCAGGGCAAGCAGAAAGCAGACTTGTGAAACCAGGATCTGTGGTCAGCAATACATTTGCTGGTGCCCAATGAGGGTGAGTGTGTGTATGTATAAATAGACACAACTATGCAACTGGAAAATGAATGTCACAACACATTAATTAATTTTCCCAAATGCTATGCTCTGTCGTCTTTTTTTTTTTTTTTTAAGATTTTATTTATTTATTTGAGAGGTAGAGTTACAGTGAGAGGGAGAGACAGAGAGAAAGGTCTTCCTTCCATTAGTTCACTCACAAAATGGCCGCAATGGCTGGAGCTGTGCCAATCCAAAGCCAGGAGCCAGGTGCTTCTTCCTGGTCTCCCATATAGGTGCAGGGGCCCAAGTACTTGGGCCATCTTCCACTGCTTTCCCAGGTCATAGCAGAGAGCTGGATTGGAAGAGGAGCAGCTGGGACTAGAACCGGTGCCCATATGGGATGCTGGTGCCGCAGGCAGAGGATTAACCTACTTTGCCATGGTGCCAGCCCTTCTGTCTTCTTTTATATTGTTTAATTTTTTTTTTTAATTTATTTTACAGGCAGAGAAAGAAAGAGAGAGAGAAGAAGGAGAGAGACAGTCGCTCCCCAAATGCCTGCAACAGCTGGGGCTGGCCCAGGCCAACCCAGGAAGCCAGAATTCCATCCTGGTTTCCCATGTGGGTTTCAGGGACCCAAGCACTTGAGCCGTCAGCTGCTGCCTCCCAGAGTGTGCATCAGAGGGAAGCTGGAGTCAAAAGTGGAGCTGGGTTGTTATACTGACAGTTAAGCTGCTCCCCTGGCAGGCCAGCATCCCGTACAGGAGGGGTTCAAACTCTGTCTCCTCTTCTGAGCTGGCTTCCTGATAAAGTGTATCTCTCTCTCTCTCTCTCTCTCTCTCTCTCTCTCTTTCTCTCTCTCTCTCTGTCACTCTGCCTTTCAAATAAACAAATTTAAAAGAAGGAGAAGAAGATAAGGAGGAGGAGGTGGAGGAGGAACTGGTACACAGATTAGGCACTCCAATATGGGATGCAGGTGCCTCACTCAGGGTCTTAACTGCTCTGCCAAACATCTGGTCCTTTATTGTTTTTCAAGCTTTTTTTTTTTTTTTAATTTATTATTTATTTGAGAGGCAAAGAAGGGAGAGTTTTCATCTGTTGGGTCATGCCCTTGATGGGCCCTGGCTGTGGCTGAAGCCAGGAATTGGGAACTCAATTCAGGTTTCCAACATGGATGGCAGGAACTAAATTACTCAAGCCATCATATGCTGTTTCTCAGGGTCTGCCTTAGCAGGAAGCTGGAGTCAGGAACAAGACACAAGGATTGAACCCGGACTGCAATGTGGGACACAGGCTTCTTAACCTCTAAGGCTGAATGCCCCTCTCGAAAGCTGTTTTTGACCCACTAAATGGATCTGTGACCAGTAATGAGTCACACTGTGCAGTCTGAAAAGCATGATACACAAAAGCAAAAACTCCTTGTGCTGCTTCTTTTTCTTTTTTTAGCAATTTATTTATTTTATTTGAAATGCAGAGTTACAGAGAGAGGGAGAGATGGACAGAGAGAGGAGAGACTGAGAGAGCAATCTTCAGTCTGCTCATTCGCTCCCCAAATGACTACAACAGTGGGGGCAGAGCCAGGCTGAAGCCAGGAGACAGGACCTTCATCCAGATCTTCCTCATGGGTATTAGGTGCTCAACAATTTGGTCCATGTTCCACTGCTTTCCCAGGCACATTTGTGGGGAACTAGATTGGAAGTGTAGCATCTGGGTCTTGAACCAGCACCCATAAGGTATGCCAGTGTTGCAGGTGGTAGCTTAACCCTTGTACTATTTCATACTGAGTCATCCAGTTCACTTTTAACTATGAAGTAAAAATTCCAAAAAATAAGAGTAATAGTCACTCTGAATTTTTAAAATATTTTATTTATTTTTGAGAGGTAGGGTTACAGACAATGAGAGGGAGAGACAGAGAGAGAGAGATCTTCCATCTGCTGGTTCACTCCCCAATTGGCCACAACGGCTGGAGCTGGGCCAATCCAAAGCCAGGAGCCAGGAGCTTCTTCTGGGTCTCCATGCAGGTGCAGGGGCCCAAGGACTTGGGCCATCTTCTACTGCTCTCTCAGGCCATAGCAGAGAGCTGGATTGGAAAAGGAGCAGCTGGGACTCAAACCGGCACCCACATGGGATATTGGCGCCACAGGTGGAGGCTTAGCCCACACCACATTGTTGGCCCTGTCACTCTGAATAAAACAACAACAAAAAAAAGCACCCTTCTCAGAAAAAAGTTATTTTCCTGCTCATCATTCTCTACACTGCAACCAGAGCAAGGCTTTTAACATATACATCACACCCTGTCCATCCTTGCGTGAGCTTGACAGTGCCACCCAGTTGCCAGTAATGACAGCTGCTACCTCTTGCACCCTGCTTGCAGTATGCCAGGCACACCTGTACACGTCTATCCATTCAGTCACCTCTTCCTCACAGTAACCTGCAAGCTAGAGCTACCATCCGACTGCCTGACAGAGCTCAAAAACTCACAGCTAGTAAGAGGCACGGCCTCTTAAAAGATTTTATTTATTTATTTGAGAGGTGGAGTTACAGACAGTGAGAGGGAGAGACAGAGAGATTGATTTTCCATCAGCTGGCACTCCCCAAATGTCCACAATGGCCAGAGCTTCGCCAATCCAAAGCCAGGAGCCAGGAGCTTCTTCCGGGTCTCCCACGCGGGTGCAGGGGCCCAAGGACTTGGGCCATCTTCTACTGCTTTCCCAGGCCATAGCAGAGCTGGATCAGAAGTGGAGCAGCCGGGACTTGAACTGGTGCCCATATAGAATGCCGGCTCTGCAGGTGGAGGCTTAGTTCACTATGCCACAGTGTCAGCCCCAATAAGTAAAATAAATCTTTAAAAAAAAAATAGAGCCCCCAGTCTGCCATCAGTCTGCCCCAGGAGCTCCAGCTTTCTGGCCATGTGCATGGCCTCACATGTGCTGCTTGTTCCCCTTGGCTGGTTCCCATACAGGCTGCTCTTAGGTTTTCCCTCAACCCCTTCTGCTGGCCCCACCAGAGCTGCACTCTGAGTGTTCCATAGTGCTCCCTGCCTTCTTCCCTCCCTCCTTCATCCACTCATTCGATTCATTGTTTACTGGACTCTTACCCCTTGTAAGAAGAAACAAAAGCAAAGGAGACAAAGTCCCTGCCCTCATGAGTTCATATTTTCCAATGGGGGTGGAAAGACATAATGTCAGGTGGTGACAAATGTTAATGAGTACTTATGAAATGCATGAAGTTTGTATTCCTTAAATAAAAGGTTTCTGTGGGGAAAAATGTTAATGAGAAAAATAATGCCGGGGAAGGTGGCCTGGGTGTGCCACAGGACGAGGCATGTGTGCCCGTTTTATACTGGGAGTTTTGGGAGGTGATGCTCCAGCAGAGGTCACTGGGAGCAGGAGCCTTGTGTCTAGTGAGGTTGAGGGGAGCCATGCAGGAGAGAAGGGCGCGTGCACAGCGCCTGAGTGCTGAGTGCTTGCTGCGGCACAGTGAGCAGGGAGGCCAGATTGTTAGCAAGTCACTCTGGCTCTTGCCCCTGTGAACGGGGAAGCTACCTGAGGGCTCTGAGCAGAAGGGATGTATTTATTTCCTATTCCTGCTGTAAAAATGACCACAAGTTGGGGCCGGTTCTGTGGCGTAGTGGGTAAAGCTACCGCCTGAAGCACTGGCATTCCATATGGTTCAAGTCCCAGCTGCTCCACTTCCAATCCAGCTCTCTGCTATGGCCTGGGAAAGCAGTAGAAGATGGCCCAAGTCTCTGGGCCCCTGCATCCATGAGGGAGACCCTGAAGAAGCACCTGGCTCCTGGCTTTGGATCAGTGCAGCTCCTGTTGTTTTGGCCAATTGGGGAGTGAACCATCGATGGAAGACCTCTCTCTCTCTCTCTCTCTCTCTCTCTCTCTCTCTCTCTCTGCCTCTCCTCTCTGTGTCTAACTCTGACTTTCAAATAAATAAATCTTTTTTTAACATGACCACAAGTTGAGAGGCTTGAAACAACACAGATTTATTCCCTTCCAGTTCTGGAGCTCAGAAGTAGCCCACTGTGATGCAGTCTGTATGCTGGCAAAGCTCTCTTTCACAAGGCTCCAGGGGAGGGCCTGCTCCCTTGCTTCGCCCAGCTGCTGGAGTCCTCTTTCTTCAAGACCCGCAGGGCTGCACTTCTCTGCTACACTTCCAAGTCCTCTTCTCCCTCTGACCATAGCTACTAAGGGGCATGCACCTTTTTTTTTTTTTTTTTTTTTAAGATTTATTTGCGGGGCTGATGCTGTGGCATAGCCAGTTAAGCTGCCACCTGCAATGCTGGCATCCCATATGGGCTCCAGTTCAAGTCTCGGCTGGTCCACCTCAGATACAGCTTCTTGCTAATACACCTGGGAAAGCAGCAGAGAATGGCCCAAGGTCTTTGGGCCCCTGCACCCACATGGGAGACCCAGAAGAAACTCCTAGTTCCTGGCTTTGAACTGGCCCAGCCCTGGCTGTTGCAGCCATTTAGGGGAGTGAACGGGTAGATGGACAATCTCTCTTTCTGTCTCTCCCTCTCTCTCTGTAAACTCTGCCTTACAAACAAATAGAATCTTTTAAAAAATTTATTTTTTTAAAAAAGATTTATTTATTTATTTGAAAGGCAGATTTACAGAGAGAGAGAGAGAGAGAGAGAGAGAGAGGTCTTCCATCCGCTGGTTTCACTCCCCAGAAAAGGCTGTAGCTGTGCCAATCTGGGTGCAGGGGCTCAAGGACTTGGGCCATTTTCTGCTGCTTTACCAGGCCACAGCAGAGAGTTGGATTGGAAGTGGAACAGCTGGGACTCAAATCAGTGCCCATATGGGATGCTGGCACTGCAGGTGGCAGCTTTTACCCACTATGCACAGTGTAGGCCTCCCCCCCCAAATTTTATTTGTTTGAAAGACCAAGCAAGAGAGATGGAGGGGACAGAAAGGGAAAGAGAATCTATCCCATTCACTGATTTGCTCCCCGAATGAGTGCAACAGGCATGACTAGGCCAGGCTGAAGGCAGTAGCCATGAACTCCAACCTGGTCTCCCACATGAGTGGCAGGGCCCCAAGTACTTGAGCCATCTTTTGCTGCTTGCCCAGGTACATTAGGAGGAAGCTGGATAGCTGGGACTCAAATTAGCACTCTAATATGAGATGCTGGTGTCGCAAGCAGCTGTTTAACCTACTGTGTCATGTCAGTCCCAAAGGTTATTCACTTCTAAGGATCCCTATGAGTAGGTTGGGCCCACCTGAAAAATCCCAACAGAATCCCCCATTTTAAGATCCTTAAACACAACTGCCAAGTTCTTTGGCCGCATATGGGAACATACGCATAGGATCCAGGGATTAGGACACAGGGGTGAATAATTCTGCCTAAACCAGTGATGCAGTCTGACGTCAGTGGTAACAGGATCAGCCTGGCTGCCCTATGAGGGGAAAAGGGAGACCAGTCAGGAAGCTTTGCAATAGCACAGGAGGGAGTTGCTCAAGGCCCCGGGGCTAGAGTGCCAGCAGCAGGTTGGTGTAACAGGTGACTGAATTCTGGGTTTCTGTGAAGGTGGAGCTGACATGTGTGTGCAGTGTGAGAAGACTTAGAGATAACTTCAAGGTTCAAAGGTAATCTCAGAGTACCTGCCACATGTTGTATTTATGTAACTCTGTTCCCCGTGAGACTGAAAGTTCTGAAGACAAAGGCCCCACATCTGGCTTTTTCACTGTTGTATCCTCCCATCTCTGAGCACAGGGAATTTGCAACACAGCCCATAACTATTGGTGGAGTCATTGTTGTGGATCAGGCACTTTACATAATCTCATTTAATCAGAACAACCTTCTGAGGCGGCTCCTATCATTATCCCCACTTACTAAGTGAAGAAACCAAGGTCCAGAGAGATTAGTTTATATCAGTAAACAGAAGACCCCGGATTTAAATCTATATTGAATAAAAGCATTCATTCACTCAAATTAAGCAAAGACTTGAGTTTAACTAAATATTCTGACCACATTTGGAATAGGATATGCGGAAAAGAGCAAGATTTATAAATAGTTCAAAGTTTTAGCCATAGAAAAATCATGTCGTAACCAGCAAGATTTAGAGCAGCTCACTCAGGAATTCTCAAACTATACAGTCAATCGTAGCTGTGGTTTGGTTGCTGTCAAGTGTTGCAGACAATAATTTCAGAAAAGTCTTATAAACATGCTGGAGACAAAGAGGAGAAAAACAAATGACATCAGATAGACCGTGATGGCACAGTGAAAAATGTCCAGACTGAGGGTGAAGAGGGAGGGGCTTCTGTCTCATTTAAGTCCTAACCACTTATTAACATTGGAGGTGTTGATTCCATCTTTCCAAGTCCTGCTCACCTACAAAAAGGCTATGATAGACGCTGTCTGCCTTAACAGCCTGAAGAGGCTTCTGGGAGAAATTAAATCCATCCCATAAATTCAGATCACCTATAGCCCAGCACTGCACTATACACAGCCATGGCACGAGCGAAACAGACAAACCCCCATTGTGTGGAGTTTGCCTTCTAATGGAAGGGAAGGTTGACAAGAGCAAGAGCTAGTAAGTAGATATTTTCAAGAGTGATAAAGGTTACAAAGGAGGATAAAACAGGGTAGAGGGGTACAGAGTGATCAAGGAGGAGGTAATATCGCACACTGACCTGAATAAATTGAAGGCATGGCGGGGGTTTTGACACAGCAGGTCAAGCCACCAATTGGGACGCCTGCATCCCGAGTCAGAGTGTCTGGGTCAGAGTCCTGCTGCCTCTTCTGATCCAGCTTCCTGCCAGTGCGCACCCTGGGTGGTGGCACATGATGGCTGACGTAGTTGGGTCTCCGCCACACCCAGGGGAGACCCAGATGCAGTTCTGGCTCATAGCTTCAGCCTGTCCCAGCCCTTGCAGTTGCAGGCATTTGGGGAATGAATCAATGGAGGGAAGATCTCTGTCATTCTTTCAAATAAATTAGTAATAATAACACTAATAATAGAGCAAGCAAGGAAGTATTCTGGAAAAAGGATGATTCAGGCAGAGAGAATAAAAAATGTTTTTGATTGATTTGAAAGGCTGAGTGACAGAGAGTGAGAGCAAGAGATTGATCTTCCATTTGCTGGTTCACTCCCCAATTGTCAGCAACAGCCAGGGCTGGGCCAGGGCGAAGGTAGTAGCCAGGAACCCCATCCTGTTCTCTCACATGGGTGGCAGGGACTCAAGTATTTGAGCCATCATCTGCTGCCTCCACGTGCATTAGCAGGAAGTTGGATCAGAAGCAGATCAGTTAAGACTCAAACTGGCACTGCGATATGGGATGCAGGCATCCCAAGCCATGTCATGACCCACCACGCCAGATCACCTGCCCTGGGAACAAATTTGTTTTTACTTTCTCTGGTGAGAATGGGCTTGGGGCATCTGGGGAACAGCAAGGAGTGGTGGACATTGGACAGTGCACAGTGCAGGAAGGGACAGGATCATGTGGGGCTTTGCAGGTTTTACTGCCACTGAAATCACTTTCCTTGAAACTTTGATTTTATTATGCAAAGAAGATGGAAACCAAAATATGCAAAGAACAATACAAATAGTAGACAAAGGAGTGATAGACTTGGGCAGTAATACTGGCACGCCTGCTTCAAGTCCATGGAGTTCTGGGGACTATCTGGGTTGGAATTCTGGATGCACCAGTTGCTACATGTGACTTTCATGTGTGTGACCTTGAACATGTTACACTTCCTCGGTGCCTCATTTTCCTCACGTGTAAAATAGTGATCATAATGGTACATAGCATATTAGGTTGTTCTGAAGATTAAATTATATTTATGATCAGTTTCCAGAACAAGAATGCTCGTAAATGTTAGTCATTATTATGATTAGTTACTGGACTTGTACAACCAATTGAGTTTATTAATGTTGATTTCTTTAATTCAGAACCTGACATTTATTTTTAAACAAAAATTTTTATATAAAGATTTTTTTTTAAAGAGAAAGGCTATGTTTTTAAATACAAAGTGTTTCAGAATTCAGATATTTAAAATCAATGAAATAAGCTTTCCTCAAAGTTCCAACTGATAGTGAAGTGCCTGAATACAATGGGTTTTAACAGCACAAGGAATTTGCCCTTCAGAGATCAATTCTCCCCCCTTCCCTAGAGATTCCTTTTGGTCCATGTCACCAAGTGAGGAGTGGAGGCAAGAGCCAGTACCTATCCCAGGCACCTTCAGAATGACCTGTGTCCTATCAAGTTTTCATTGTGTGTGTTTGTTTTAGTGAAAGTGATTCCAGTGACAGTGAAACCTAACACATGCAATAACACAAGGGTACTACTTCTGCCCTCTTGGTGTAATAAAGTATCATGTTTTCAACAGTGTAATATGATTCCATACCCACAAATTCACCCTATTTCAGTTTTGTAAGTTCTCCCTTATTTTCACAATACTTAGCAAAAGCTTGTTGCTGTTTGAAAGTAAGGAAATTAGAGTAATGTGTAGTTGAAGCAAACCAGATGAAGAACAAAGCAAATCTAAAAGCCAGCTGCTAACCAGCTACCCGGTCACACACTTTTCTTAATGTGTTTGAATGGAATTGAATAGCGGCCAAAACCAACATCTCCTCAAAACCAGATTGAGATGCGTGTGAACAACCAAAGGCCATTCAACCAAGCTTCCATATCAATAAATGGCTTGAAAGGAAAGGGGCAGATGAACAATCACCAGGAATTTATGAAACTTATGGAAAGGTTTATCAGTTGGGTTATGCAAGAAGCTATCTTGATAATAAACAAGTCCGCTGAAAGAGTTCTTGTGCAAAACATAACATATTTTACCGCCATTTGAAAGATATGTAAAAATGTTTTTGGTTTTATTTTTAACCTTTCTAAATCCAGGCACCCACTGCCTTCCAAAAGCTATTCTTGGTGATGATACAATGTTCTGACACGTTTTCCCTGAGACACATCTGCTGAAATTAACATTTTTGTCTCCACAGACTCACATGTCACTGAAAAATATGAAAAAATCATTGTTTTCTTGCTAATCAGGCTTTGCTGGCAGAATTTTTCAAATCAAACTTACTCTAATCTTCCAAGAGAGAGGGACCATATATCGCTACTGTAATCCATATCACCTTTGAATAGTATAAGGCTCTGCTGAGGGTGGATAAAATCAACAGACAAATAGATGTTTCTGTGGCAGCTCAAACTCTACCTGTTGGATTCTACACACTTCTTTTTTTCTTTTTTTTCTTTTTTTTTTTTTTTTTTTTTTGACAGGCAGAGTGGACAGTGAGAGAGAGACAGAGAGAGAAAGGCCTTCCTTTTTGCCGTTGGTTCACCCTCCAATGGCCGCCGCGGCCGGTGCACCACGCTGATCCGATGGCAGGAGCCAGGTACTTATCCTGGTCTCCCATGGGGTGCAGGGCCCAAGCACTTGGGCCATCCTCCACTGCACTCCCTGGCCATAGCAGAGAGCTGGCCTGGAAGAGGGGCAACCGGGACAGAATCCGGCGCCCCGACCGGGACTAGAACCTGGTGTGCCGGCGCCGCAAGGTGGAGGATTAGCCTAGTGAGCCGCGGCGCGGGCCTGGATTCTACACACTTCTAACTTACATTCTTGCATATCTTGAAACACAGGTTTGTGGTGCCTGGATCTGGAAACAAGAGAAAGGAACAATGTAATGAAATGCTTTCTTATGTCGAGATGATAAACAGGGCCAATGCTCTGCGACCTGTGCAAGCTTTCTTGGTCCCTCCAGTCACATCCAGCTGCAGACTGACAATAAGGGTCCACCATTACAGACTGGATTGGAATCAAGTACTGATGCTTTACCAGTTAATATAGCTCAAGACTCAAGAATACTTAAGCACCCATCATACTCCTACCTCTGTGTTAGAAACTACAAGAAAGATATGATGAGGAGAAGACAAGTACACAAATAATTAGAACATTGAGCAGAATGTAATATGTGAGAAATAAACATAATGTAATAGATTCAAAGGGGGAAAAATCACATAGAAAAAAATCTGAATGTAGATGGTAGAATGTGACCTGATGGTCCGAAAAGATCAGAATGTCAGAGGTTGATATTTAGAGAAAAGAAAAAGAAAGATGTTAGAAGAAAGGGTTAACCTCACCTAGCCCCAAGGCACATATAAAGAGAACAAAGTAATATGAGGACAGCTAGCATGGTGGAGCAGGGCCAGAAGAGAAAGGCTCTAAGGGCAAGTTGAGTTTCCATTTTATCCTGCAGACTAAGGGGCTTTTAACCTTGGAATATTTCCAGGCAAGATTACATTTGTTTTACAAGGATAATCAACATCTAGGAATAGGATGGCTATTGAATAGCAAGGGTGACTGAGGAGAAACTGAATGGACAAAGAGACTAATTGGAGGGTGGTGGAGAACAGAGGATCACAGTGAGAAGCCAGAGAGGGGCAGAATCCAGAGGCGCTCTGAACGTATCGCACTTGAGGCCAAGGAGGGCACTGAAGAGGAGTTGATGCACAGCTCGGGTGACCGGAAGTCTCTCCCCCAGTTATGGCGTTGTTTGGTGGGGAAAGTTTATGAGTTTAGTTTGGTACACACCATGTTTCATCAAAAGAATGTAAGCTCAAGATCTGCTTTTTCTCAGCTATCCTTTTGAAAAATTTTTGCTTTGACTGCTGAGTTCCAAAATTAGCTCTGAGCTGTCTAGTTCTGTGCTCAGGTATTTTGTCATGGAGTGCTGGAATATCCCCTTCCTTTGAGATCTGCAGTGTTACTTTCCAAAAATTTCATTTAATAATAAATAGCTGGGTATAATTTTCAATGTTTTTCTCAATAGCTTTTTTTCCATCAGTAGACATTTTAATTTGTATTGTAACTAAAATTTGAATGCAATAACTTTCACTAATAAGATGTGTGAACAAAGAACCATAACATTTGGGGTTCTAACATTATATACAGAAGCCTCCAACTCTAAAAAAGATTTCTTGGTTGTGCCATCTGCTTGGAGATTAATTAATGGTTTAAAAATAGATGATCTTTTGAAGGCAAATGACATGAAAATAATAGAAAATATTAATATAGATCTCATAACCCACACTGTAGAAAACAGTGTTATTAAGCATTGCATTTAGAAAAAGAACGGGTTGAGAATACGCCACACTGAGATACTTAGTAAACACTAAGTGTATAGTATAATGGACATAGATTAGAAAGCAGTTACTTCAAAGAGCAGGAAGGAAGGATTATTGATTAGATGCTTTCCTAGTTCTCTCTTTAAACTGTGATTGCTAATTATTTTTCAACATTACCTGAATAATGTGTACACTGGTAACCATATACAAGAGATGAACCTGCTCTTCCCATTTCCTAAGTCTAAAATAATATACAAATCCCTACCTCACCTTGTCTACTCTATTTCCATCTTTGGCTTATAACTAAGCTTCTTGAACAAGCTGCCTAGACAGGCAGTACTTGTTTCCACACCTCCACTCCTCCCTCTGCCCCCTCTGTGATGTGGCTCCCACCCTTACAAGGCCAATAAAGGCATTCTCACTAAAGTCACCAATGATCTAAGTGACCCCTCATCTTCTAATGAACACTTTGTCATGTTGGCATTATTGCTCTGGGGATTAAATGAATTAACTCAGGTAATATGCTTGGTAGTGTCTGAAATGTTTGAGATATGCTCCAAATGCATGTTCCTTTTTTTTTTATTTTACCTAGTTTTATCTAGAAATGAAAATTTACTCAGATAAAATTATTTGAGCTCACTCCCAAAAGGAAACATTCAGCTTTAGGATCAGAAATAAACTGGAGGGGCCAGCGCTGTGGCAGGTTAGGCTGCGGCCTGCAGCACTGTAATTCCATATGAGCGCCATTTCAAATCCTGGCCGCTCCACTTCCAATCCCGCTTCCTGCTAATGGCCGAGGAAAGCAGCAGAAGATGCCCAAGTGCTTGGGCCCCTGTACCAGCATGTGAGACACAGATGAAGCTCCTAGTTCTTGGTTTCAGCCTGGCCAAGCCTTGGCTGTTGCGGCCATTTGGGGAGTGAGCCAGAGGATGAAAGACTTATCTCTGCCTCTGCCTCTCCCTTTCTGTAACTCCACTTTTCAAATAAATAAATACATTTTTTTTAAAAAATTAAAGAAATAGAACTGAGAAGAGTCTACTTGTTTTGGGTTAGGAGCGGGTCTACAAGCCTGATTGAGCAGAGTCAGAGCTGTGTGATGTTAACATTTAAATTCTGTGCACTCAAGTATATATCTGGCTTGCACAAAATTCACTCAATTCGAGCTGAGTGAGCATAGTTTGAGAAAATCTCCTTGAAAACTCATATTCTTTGTTGGTGCATCCATATTCTCTGACCACAGGTAAATTCTGCAAATGCATCTTTTCATAATTTAAGAATAATTGAAAAGTCATCACACTTTTATTCATTTACATAACTAATCTGAAAAATGAAATTATATTCTTTTAATTAGCAAATAACAATTATATTTTCATGATGTAAAACATGACTTTGATTAATCCATGTTTACATTGTGGAATGGTTAAATCAAGCTAGCTAATTAACAAATATATATCCATTATCTCACATTTTTTTTGTGTTAAGAACATTTAAAGTCTACTCTTAGCAATTTCAAATATACAAAACACTGTTGTTAGCCATAGTCACCATGTTGTACAATCACAATCGATCTGAACTTATGCCTGATCAAACAGAAACTTGTAACCTTTGACCAACGTGTTCTCAGCCCCTACAACCCAAAACCCCTGGTAACCACCACCGCACACTCTGCTTCTGAGTTCACCATTTCTAGATTCTGCATATGAGATTCTATGGTATTTGACTCTTATGCCTGGCTTATTTCACTAAGCATAATGTCCTCCAGGTTCCTTCATGTTGCCACAGATCAGACATCATTGTTTTTAAAGGTTGAATAGTACTGCATTCTGTGTATGTACTTTTTTTAATCCTTTCGTCCACTGACAGACACTTAGTTTGATACTGTATCTTGACTATCATGAATAATGCTGGAATGAACGTGGGAGTGCAGGTAGCTCTTCAACATATGGATTTCATTTCCTTTGAATATATGCCCAGAACTGAATTGCTGGAATACATAGTTCTATTTTTAACCTTTTGTGGAAACTTCATACTGTTTTTCATAATGACTGTTAATATTCTACTCAAGAGTTTACAAAGGATCCTTTTTCTTAACATCCTCACCAATCCTCACCAATGTTTGTTATCTCTTGTCTTTAATTTTTCAGAAGAATCTTATCATATAGTATCTTCCAGAATATGGGCAGAAGAGAGAGCTAAGTGTTTAAAGTATTGTTCTCAATAATCATTCAAGAGGAAGAAAAGACAAACCACAGACAAAGGAATATATTTGAAAAATATTCATCTGATGAAAAACTATTAACCAAAATATACAAAGAGCTCTTAAAACTCAACAATAAGAAAACAATCTGATTTTTAAAAAATGTGCCAAAGACTTCAACAGACACCACATCAAAGATGCTATGTGTAGATGGTAAACAAACATATTAAAACATGTTCCACGGGGGAGGACATTTGGTGCAGGACACCTGTATTCCATATTGAATGCTTGGGTAGAGTCCTATCTACTCTGCTTCCAATCCAGCTTCCTGTTGACATGCATCCTGGGGCAGGGGCTAGGGAAGAACAGCAGATGATGGCTCAAGTACTTGGGTCCCTGCCATCCACATGGGAACCTGAGTGCAATTCTGGGCCCTGGCTTTGGCCCTGGCTGTTGCAGATGTTTGCGGGGTAAACCAGTGAAAGGAAAATCTATTTATCTGGCTCTCTGCCTTTCAAATAAAAAAAATGAAAATAAATTTTAAAAAGAAAAACCATGCTGAAGGGATGGGCCTTCGAGGTAGAGGTTAAGACACTGCTTGACAGACTCATAGAATGGCAGATGTCCTAAATAGCACTCTGGCCTCAGAATCAGCCCTTAAAGCATTCGGATATGGCTGAAGAGCCCATGAGAGTATTTTAGGCATGGAAAGCCAAGACACTCTGGAACAAAAAAAAAAAAAAAAAAAAAAAAAGACCTAAATGAAAGATCTCTGCAAGTGAGATCCCAGTGGAAAGAACGGGGCCATCAAAGAAGGACGTACCTTTCTCTGAAGGGAGGAGAGAACTTCCACTTTGACTATGACCCTGTCGGAATAAGATCAAAGTCAGCGAACTCAAAAGGCTTCCATAGCCTTGGCAACTCATGACTAGAGCCTAGGGAGATTA